TCCATCCCTCCATCCCACCCTTCTTTCCTAACATCCATCATCCGTCCATCTATCCCTCCCTCCCTCCCTCCATCCCTCCATCCCACCCTTCTTTCCTAACATCCATCATCCGTCCATCTATCTTTCCATCCACCAGTCCTTCCATCCATCCATCCCGTCCTCGTTTAAGTGATCTATTATTACATGATAATCATTTAGGAACTTATATTCTTACTTGACAAGGACCTTGTAAAGATCTCTGCTTTGATTGTATGTAACACTCTGCTCTTCTGAAGTTTTGATCGTCTTCAAAAAGTTCTCAATGCCACGTGCAATGCTCAACATTGCTTCGCTTTGATTAGCAGCGCCTTCCATGACCTTCTTTGTCGTGTTTATGGACTCAAGGAACATGTCATCGGTGAGATTTCCTCGCATTAATTTCCAGCTCTGTTAGTTATAAGAATAAGTTATAATATCACACTGATTAAAGAAAGCAATCGATATTTAGTAAGTATTTCATAGAGGACATAAAATAATGACTTGTCGCCGAAATGAGTTGGCGCATTAGTTGATAGATGGCTTACGGAAAACAAAAATATTGCGCGGTCGCGAAAGCGTGATATCGCCAAAAAAAGACAAAAATAAGACAAGTGAAATTCATAAACTGTTCGAAAATACCTCTGCCTGCATCTCCGATATTATTAGAAGCGCCATTGCATTTCGGAAATCATCAGTAAAGGTGTTGTTTATAATTTCTCGACGCCATTTATTGCTATTTCAACTTACCGCGTCCATTTCCTTTCTGTGTTCCTTTATATCTGCCATTTGTACATTGATCTTATCTGTAGCATTCAGGACCTGATCGTAAGCTCCCTTTATATTGTCGTAGACCGCCTTGCAGTCGCTTGTTAGACTTTTTATTGTTTCATACATCTGATAGCCTGGAAGAAAGTAATAAACGAGTTTTGATTAAAGGCTTAGGTGTAACCGAGATTTTTTGCGGTCGTTTAAAGAATGATCTCTTGTTTAAAGCAGTTTTCTTATTGGTTCGAAATCAAAGAAGGCTTCTTTTCGTATGTAAGAATACGGCGCAAACATTTCTCGGAAGCGCGTGGAGCTTAACAAATTGTCAAGTAAGGCTGTTACTGTCAAAGCGTTTTTTGTTTTGTTTGTTTGTTTGTTTGGTCATTCAAAACACAAATAAATGCTCCAGTTTCGAATTCTCTTTTGTGCAAGCTTAGCTTCAATCAAGCATAATTTTTTATTTTATATTTTATTGAGATTTGCATAACAATAAATTCTCTGCTGAATACAAGAATATTTTACTTGCTTTCGAAGTTAAGGCTGCAAAAATAAGATCTCGAAACTGGAGTATTGTATATTGTTTATAATTTCCATTCGCTCTTAACCCCGAAAACCTTTCTTGAAACAGCCCAACTTTGGTTATGATAAACGTCCATAAACAAATCACAAAGCGCGCCATATACACTGCGTTCTTTACCTGCCAGGGCTAATAACCTCAGCCCGACACCAAGTCCGGCCTTAAACCTTGTAGCGAATTTTTCGATTTTGGAAAATTTTATGTTGAGTCTCCTTTTCAACTTGATTATTTTGGTCTTGAATTTGGCCTGAGTTCGTCCGATCCATTGTCCAAATCTTGTCTCACTGAGCTTCGAAGCTAATCCAGTCTTTGGAGCTTCAAAATCACCTGTACTGTTATCTCAGAGATCACATTTGATGAGCTCAGGGATCAGAAGTTTAGCTTTGGAATCGGGATCAATGTCCTAGTAATATTAGAGTAATTCAGGATCACAAAAGGAAAAAATCGCGCGCTTTAAAGGTTGTAAATTTAATGCAAATATCATGTAACTGTCCAAAATCATGCAAATTTGTTGTAGATAATGTAAGTAATATTTGTATCATTTTGCCGTTCTTTCGGGGATCAGACTTGGGTTCGAGGACGAGAGAACTGTACGCCTCGTTACTACTTTAAATTGATCGTTTATGTACTCACAAAGCCCATTTTTCGTTCTTTATATCGTTTCTTTGAGAACTTGAATATGTCGATACCAGCAGGAATTGCCAATGCAAGGGCTGAGAAGCCAATGGACAGAGCATTCTCTAGCCTGGAGTTGAACAGTCCCTCAACTTCAAGATATTGAACTTTTTCCATCGTCCTATTTTTCTGCTCTACTAATTTCTGGATATTATAAATATCAATGAATTAAAATCTGCTACTCATGTAAATTATGTAACTGCTACGAAGAAAACGAATGAGGAAAAGAGCTACCGTAATTTCCTTGCTGGCGTTCAAGCTTGCAATCCGCACTTCTGGACTGATCGTTTGAAGGAGCTTTTCGCTATCTGTGTCGATTTCATTCAGCTTGCAAAGTATACTGCTGAAGAGATTGGCGGAATCCCGAATGTAGATCTGATCAAGTTCGGCTGAAGACGAAATTAGGATTTTAGTATTGGATTGATGCATCGAGACCAAAAAAGTATATATATATTTTTCAAAGCGGGCTACACTTTACCAAGAATTGTTTGATTAGAGACATGGATTTCTTCCCGATCTAAACTAAACTGAAYCCTCTTTCTTGCACTCAGATTTAGCATAATACCTTCATAATGAACCTTCTTGCCAAAACGGCCTACAATTTACAATGATTTTAAGCTTGGGGGGAGGGGGGAGGATTTTCCCCTGACAGAATACCTTCATACTGTATGTCATCGACCTCCTKGCTAATGTTTTCCACTTTCTCTTTCTGTGCATTGAATTTATTCAAATAGGTCACAGCTTCAGGGTATGTCCCTTTGCAGCCCTCTATGGCCTTGTAGATAGAGGCGGCCAAAGATACAATTGTTGTTCCATAGTTGATGACCTTGGCGCCAATTTTCAAAGCTTTGAATGCCCCGGATACCCATCCTGCTCGAAACAAAGACGGTTTAGTAGTTTAGTTTTATGCGGGCTGTATAGTTCTTGGCACTCTCAATTTCTCTCTTCATGTTAAGCTCATTTTCAAAATGACTCTCGTAAGAAGGATTCAAGCCATGCATGTAGTCAGCTATAAGTTTGGAAGTGGCCACATAAAGGTAGCAGCTTATGCCAAATCYTTTCGCATTGAACTTTGAATTACATTTGTTTATTTCATTTTTCGACCTGTCAATCACATAAACAGTAGATCGTTTGAGTGCTTTAGCTCCGCCTACCCTTGTATGATTGACACTTCTAACAGAAGAACACAGTTATCGACTCAAATGACTCGAACGTTGGTGAAATTGAAACACAAACCTTTTTTGCCTGCACATTCATCTTCGGGAGCTTGAGGAGTCAATGGCTTAAATCTTTCATTGGATTTCTCTAAAACCAATAGTAGACATTATCTTATGGGACACAGTCATACAACTGAATTAAATGCGAAATTATATCTGGTTGACCTCTTTGACTACTCGTTCAACCATTTACAGTGAAACTCTAGCTTCCACGGTATCACAAAAACACAATATCAGCAACACTTGAATGATGTTATTTCTATGCCATCTTCATAGAGTGGCCTTCATGATTACCGTCATCATTCCATTCTGTGGAGGCGCTGTCTTCATCGTCATCATCATCATCATCATCATCGGTATCATCTGCATCTTCATTCTCATTTTGATAAGTGTCATCTTGATCATCTCTTTGATATGTGTCGTCATCATCATTATATTTTTTATCGTCTGGTGTACTGCCACTTTCTGCTTCCCTAGTAGGTTTTGCTCTCGCGAACTCCTCTCCAAGTAGCAGGAGACACACGAAGAACACAAAACGATACTTGAAGCGAGGCTTCATTGCTACACAACGAAAATTATAATATGAATAACTAATTTACGATGGGTTTAAGGAAGGACTGCAATAGCCGACTTGCGAATTACGCATCAATAGTCACATACAAAGGAATCAAGACGAGGCGCCGTGCTTTTTTGTGAAAAATCTATTGTCTTTAGCACGGCGCCTCGTCTTGATTCCTTTGTATGTGACTATTGATGCGTAATTCGCAAGTCGGCTATTAGAAGTACGACTTTTTAATTTMTGAATGAGAATCGATTAACAAGGAAATAAGGTTACTTTTTTCAACAACCATTTTTCAATTTAAATTGATTTGTCTTTGTTTCGTTTTAATTACTATATGTTATTGGATTTCATTAAATTTGTCTTATTGTGGTTACATTAATTTTTWATTTGCATTTAATTTGCCCTTTATCTTTTGACACATATTGTGAGTATTTAGCCTTAAGTTGATAGAACTCTTCTTTTTATCTTTAGTTTTGCCTAGTTTTAGTTCAAAATTATCAGAGTAAAACAAACAGATTTTTATATATAAAATACATCTAGTTTTCAACTTACCTGGCTTCAATACTTAATAAGTTTAATTTCTGCTGGTACATGAACGGTTGTGTCAAACCATCCACTTAGATATGTTGATTCCATCCCACCGACTGTGAATGAGCAACTTACGAGCAATTCCAAACCTCCGAAGTGTTAACGAGCGACTTACGAACATCTCCGAACCTTTCGACACGTACCGAGTCGTGTACGAAATGTTAACGATTAACACACGGACTTTAAAGGCGCTCTGCTTATTCCATATATATTGTATAATTCTCTGTGGTTTATTAGCAACTGGAATTTGAACCGTCACTTTTATAGATAGTTAACAAAGCTCCGAATCGTCGCATGGAAGTACGCTAACGTAAAAGATTTCTGCTACGACAATGTTATGTACGGCACCTTACTACAAGGTATCTTGTCAATCGGGTCTCACTTCGGAGGATAGAATAACCTATTATATATTTGAATACTGTMGATATGATCATGTATTTATTGTAAATTTATTGGTTCCCAAGCGAGCGGAGTTGACTTCTTGCAGTACGAAGCGGGTGACCAGTGTTCCATACCAGTCAATAATTTCATTCTTTTTTCTTTTTTCTTATATTTTCTTTTCTATTCATAGTATATTCTCATCATATAGTTTTGAACGACTGCAAAACAAAATTTATGACACTTTTGCAAATAAAACGAATTATTCTGTAAATAATGTGGAGTTTAATTAATCGAAATAATGGAGGAGTCCAAGGCAAACCAGTACATGAAGGAGTTTTCTTTCTGCTTTCTTTTCGTGGAATATGTGTAGAAACATCCTCGGGAACCCAGGGGTAATCTTCTGTCGTTCGTTCCTCACTCCCAGAAAAAATACCCCTGGGCACGAAGTCWGTTAGRCCTTGTTCTCAATTCGAAATTCAAAATGGCGGCCGGTAAGTTAATCAACCAATCAGAATGTTCGCGTRAATCACTCGACCAATCAGAAATTTACAGGCCGCCATTTTGAATTTCGAATCGAGAACAAGTTCTAACAGACTTCGTGCCCAGGGGTATTTTTTTCTGGGAGTGAGGAATGAACGACAGAAGATTACCCCAGGGTTCCCGAGGATGGTGTAGAAAGTCCTTCAAAACAATTTAATCATAATAAATGTTCTTATCATAGATTGATTTGATTTTGAAAAACATCTATTTAGTCATTCGCTTTTATTGTAAACAGACTCTTTAGAAGTTGTTGTTTGACCTTTGCTGTTATATTACAGGCGATGTCAATGTTAAAACCTCAATAAACATTTTGAATTATTGCAAGAAGTGTTATATGTTGTTCTTATGCCGCCATAGCAAATATTGTACTATGCGATAGTTCTGTATTTTGTGTAATAACTTCAGTTCTTAAACCCTCTGTAATTGCTTTCCATCCTTGTCTTTATACGTTGTAAAGTTAACTCTCCATAGAGCCGTCTGAAAAGGAGGGAAAATGGTAAAAATGTTTCAAGTTCACTATGGGATCTTCCCATTCCTCATATTCTTTATTACGATTATATCCCACATTGCTTAGCGGCTTACTTATTCCGTTTTGTGATTCCGCCCTAATCTAGTTTAGCAAATCGTCAATCACTCATTGCGCATGATCGTAAGTCTTATCCCACATGGCTTAGCGGCTTACTTATTCCGTTTTGTGATTGCGCCCTAATCTACTTTAGCAGGTTGTCATTCACTCATTGCGCATGATCTTAAATCTTATCCCACATGGCTTAGCGGCTTACTATTCCGTTTTGTGATTGCGACCTAATCTACTTTAGCAGATTGTCATTCACTCATTGCGCATGATCGTAAGTCTTGTTCCACATGGCTTAGCGGCTTACTTAATCCGTTTTGTGATTCAGCCCTTATTTAGTTTAGCAGGTTGTCAATCACTCATTGCGCATGATCGTAAGTCTTATCCCACATGGCTTAGCGGCTTACTATTCCGTTTTGTGATTGCGCCCTAATCTACTTTAGCAGATCGTCAATCACTCATTGCGCATGATCGTAAGTCTTCTCCCATATGGCTTATCGACTTACTATTCCATTTTGTGATTTCCGCCCTAATTTAGTTTGGCAGATTGTCATTCACTCATGCGCATGATCTTAAATCTTATTCCACATGGCTTAGCGTCTTACTTATTCCGTTTTGTGATTTCCGCCCTAATCTACTTTAGCAGATCGTCATTCACTCATTGCGCATGATCTTAAACCTTATCCCAAATGGCTTAGCGGCTTACTTATTCCGTTTTGTGCATGATTTCCACCCTAATCTACTTTAGCCGATCGTCAATCACTCATTGCGCATGGTCTTAAATCTTATCCCACATGGCTTTTTACATTCCTCATTTTGTAATTCCACCCTACCTTCGTCTTGCGAATCTTGACCTGAAGCACTGCCTGAAGCCGGATCATTCAGCCTTGATGATTCACCTTCATAAAACTCCCCGTCGCTCTCTTCTTCTTCTCGCCTTTTTTCTTCTTCGGCGTCAGGTCCAATTTCAACAGGATATTCGTCTTTGGGCTGTTCATCTTCATCGGCTTCCTCTGCCTCTTCCTCGAGCTCCTCYTGAGTGGGCGCGCGATTCTCGATGGGATACTGATCTTCCGGCACGGCCTGCTGATCGTTGTATTTCTTGTGRTGTGGAATGTGGCCGCTTCCTTTAGATCTTGCTTCTACGCTGTCTTCTCCGATTAACAATATAAACAGGGTTATGAACAGGAACTTGCGATTGGGCTTCATTTCTGAAAATATTGTWTCATGATGTAGTTGTTATGAATTATACTGAAAAGCTAAATGYCATCTTTTGTATTCCTCTAAATTCTCTTTCGATAAGAGACAGAAGATCTGGAAAGAAAATTGAACGGAAAGCAATAGACAGGAAAAGAGTGGAAAGTCTTGATGGAGGTTCTATCTGCCACCTGGGCACGATGGGGAAAGAGAGCTAAATGTCAGTATACACTTAATTTAGGTATGACTACAGTTGAATGTATCATTCAGTCTCTTTCTCTTGACTTATTTTTTTTTAAAAATGAATGATTGGCCTGGTTCTTGAGTGCTATCGTTATACATGACCTGCGAAGGGCTTTCTTGCATTACAAGTAARGTAGATATTTGCGATTAATTATATTTTTAGGAGRAAAATAATAAAATGACACACAAAATTATTGCTAATACTCGCTGTTTGKTCGTGTTCYCAAACAATTAAGCTTTACGTGCGCCGTAAAACCGCTTTCTTAGTTTATCTGAAGAGTAYTTAAACCTTAAAAGATCTTTTGATTTTGACAACTGGCTTTGGAATTTCCGTATATCATGATTAATTTTTGATATTTACCATCTCTTACTAAATACAATCACTTGTACATGTAAAACTAGTAAGAAAAAACGGATTTAGCAGGGGAAATTTTACAGGAGTGACTTACCGATCGTGGAATGGTGGCCTTGATATATCTTTAGTAGTAATTTCTGACTTAATCCATATCAAATAGCAGACCACTTTGCAGGTACTTCTACAGGTAGACACTTAGCAATGTCAAGAGCTTCCTTTTTTAAAAAAGAGTTGTAGCCTAATTTCTGTACAAAGTCCCGTGTCCTTTCAGAGTGGTCCCGGGTTAAGAAAATTCGCCCTTTTAGGTATTTTAGGACTTCGGTCTTGGGAGACCGAATCTTCATGACTAGTATCTTGGTGAGAATATTAATTTCCGCCATTTTGAATAAAATGGTAAGATCAAATGTACAAAAAAGTATAATTTAGAAATTTCAGACAAAGATTATTCCTTGACAACCCAGTAACAAGAACAAAGCTGTACAATGTATGATTTTCTATCTCGTCCCCAGGTCTTCTCMTCTTTGTTGTGGAAACAAAAGGAAAAAAGGCCTGGGATCTAGGTTGTCAACAGCTATCCCAAACTTTACATTTCAATTCAAAATGGCGGGAAAATGGCGAGAGCATTTTGTGCACTTTGGTCCGTCAAACGTAAAAAAACGTTAAATTCAAGTGATGTTTTGGGACGTCGTTTCTTGTCATGTTCCAAATATGTGTATTAATCCGAGAGGTGTTTTCCAATCGCTATCTTGTCAGCGAAACAAATGCATTTAGCCCGCATTCCTGGCGATCTGCGGTCTTTCTTTACCCAGTCTCTTTTCTTGCTATTTTAACCGGCGATCATCGTTCAACTGTAAAATTTTTATGTATAGAAAAACGTATGTCCACTTAAGTAATGGCCCGAGTAAGAACTATAGAAGCAAACGGCAAAGGAATGCAAGAAGGTGCTAATTGTGTATTGTATAATCCATCCATCCCATTGGTTCAAACAAGAAAATCTGCTATAATTTTACAAGTTAGCGCATTTTCTAATATTTTATTTAATATCTGATTCCGACTTCATGAAAGCTTTCTTTAGCTACAATATTAAGGCAATTCTATGTGGGGAACATAGCAAATTAGAAGCTTCTTTTATCTATTGTTTTGAGTGCTTATGATTGGATAAGAGGTTTTACTACAAAAGAAACTTTGTTTCAAAATAGAGTTCATGCACATTTTATCTCAAAAATGCGTTACCCATAGGTTGATATATAATCACTGTGAAAACCAAGACATTTGTATGTGGGGAAGTTGCAATGCCGCAGAACAATAGAGAGTTCTACAGTTCTTACGCTCATTGTTACTTAAATATTGATCTCATCACGTTTTAGAGACCCTGCCGACCCTACCTCCTCTKAGAGGATTCGTTTCCCTTCGCCTGTCTACGGCCAGGATAAAAAAGCACTTTTTGAGCGCTGGAAACGATAATACTAATTCATTTTTACATGTTTTTCAAGACCGGACTACTATTAAAGGAARACAAATCACCACAGATCATTTTTTCGTCATTTTAATAAATTATTTTCAAATGCAGTGTACTTTGTAATTGTAATGTACTTTATTTATCAGCAATTTATACATTTGCTTCGTTTATTTGCTCAATTCCATCTCTTTTGCCGAGTCCATTATCTGCAAAAGAAACAAGCATGCTATCTAAGTGTAGATTAGTCATCCAGTCGTTAATAATTAAATAAAGTGCGGATAAGTCAAGTTGATCCACCAACCAGGGTTTTATTGTGAGGCCGTTTTTTTTGTTCCTCGCCGTTTGCCTCACAATAAAACCCTGGTTGGTGGATCAACTGGTCATTCTACCTGAGGAAGATCGGTGTAATCGATCGAAACTTCGTGAATCGTTTCAACTTTTTTCCAGTAATTGACTTATCACTTTATTTAAAGCATGCTATTCACAGCTGAAAAGTACGAGTTTTATATGAGCACAAAAATACAAATCACTTACTAAACTGTTGCTGCTGATTTAGCTGAACCACTTTCTTGGCTATCTTGTGATGCTTTTGGGGCATGTTGTGAAGCTTTGTGTGAAATAGAAAAGAGACGATAATGTTAGAGTGGTTTTTATCAAACCGTTAAATATAGCTATTTCAAAAAAGGTTGTCGGATAAAATGGCGAATGTGAATGGTCGAACGGCGGTTGCACGGCCGAAAGTAGCCATGGGTTTTGCTAGTTGAAATGAAATAACAACTGATTTGTACTGTAAGATGACCTGTGTTAAACATTGGCTCCATTTAGTTTCAATTTCTATGTAAGGTGAATCCCATAGTGAATTTTCATTGTTTATCAAAACAGTATAACCAAAGTCCCTTTCGGTCGTGCATTCTCCCTTCGACAATCGCCGTTCGCCGTTATCCCCGACAACGTTTTTTTGAAATAACTGTATAATCTGGTGTACTAAGTTTTTTTCTTTCTCTTTTCCTTTTTATCCCCCTTTTTTCTTTTTTTTGTATATCCGATTTATGACACATTATTACACCTTGACTTTTACACTTTGTTTCGCAAGTTTATGATATGAAAACATCTACATCGGCTTTTAAATTATAAATCCTGCTCAAGCGTAGCCACCACTTTCAATATCATTCAATTTGAACCAATAAATTGATAATTCTTTTCTCGTTTGACGACAACGTCAAGCATCATGTTTTTCACTTGAGATTATAAAGTCAAAAGATCGCCGRCCATGATGGTGCAATTGATGGRKAATTGATGCAGYTCGCGTGCAAAATCTAAACTGGCTTCATYTTTGCAGATGAAGGTCAAGGTGTTTATATGTAGAGAGGAGTTTGAATAACACTTAAGTGTCCTACCTGAGGCATCAAATATGATTGGTTTTTTTGTTGGCGTTGGCGTTGGCGTTGGCACTGGCCCTGGAACTGGTTGTTGTGGAMGTGCTGCGGGGCGATCACTTCCACTTCCAACTGATGGTGGTACGGGTTTTGACCGATCATTTCCACTTCCAGAAGTTATTTCATCATCCATTTCATTGTCATTTCCCATGTCGGGATCTTCTTCGGGCTCGTCTGGAATATCAGATTCGTCCTCTGGGCCTGTGGATTGAAACCCGTCATCTCTCTTCTCTCCGCTTTGGTGCGCCGTGTCTTCTTCGTGTCTTTCCCCTGAGTTTGCCCTGATGGAGTGTTCCCCAATCAGTACGATGAACATAAACARCGCACACAAGAAAYAGGACTTCATTYTTCTGAWTCATAAAAGAGATTACTGGTTTGAATTACATGAACGTTGTCTTATCGTTTTAGTTTTTGTTGTTGTTTTTTTCTATAAGATTTATTTTCATTTTGCACAAGTATAAGTTCTTTAACATCTTTCACATAAAAGTATTTTTCTAGATGATTTTATTCTTGAAATTAATGTCTCTAAAGGCTAATTTTCGAACTCTCTGCATTATGTCTAAGGTCCTTTAGCGCCCCGCAACGTTGGACCTCCTCCGCGTCATCTATTTCAGCGATCAAGAGAAATGAAACGGCGCGCGAGTAGACAGCTACGAAGAGTGCGGCTGTAGGCCAATAGTATTTGTTAGTTTTTGCGCGAAATCATTAAAAGCTGGTTAGATCTTTACTCATGGCTTTTGAAAGGAAGCTAAACGTGTCGTAATTTTAAAAAAGAAACATAATTTTTGCATAATCTTTTTAATAAATCTTTTGCGCAAATGAAGTGAAACTTTCCCAATATTAAGCTTCAAACAACTGCGATAATCCAAAAATCAATAAATGTCTGAGGCCACGTAATTCTCAATAAAAACCTGGCTTCTGTTACTTGAAAGCTCATTAAACTCAAAAAAATAATGATTGAAGAAAAATGTGTTGTAATAAGTCATTCACAAAGAGCAGCTTCCACTGAAGTAACATCGATTTCTATAGCTAGAGGTATTCACTAAAATTACTTACTTAACCCAGACTGTCCTTTCCAATGAATAGCGACTTAATTTTGTATGTCCTCGCTATATATCTGTACCACTGGTACAACTACAGGTGAACACTCTATTTTATGTCAAAAACCGATATGGATGTCGTAAATCCTGCTAATGTTTAGAATCTTGCTTGTACGTGTACTAATGACAATCTTGATGGAAGAAATGGCAGTCTTATATTAAAGCTTTGGAGCTCCAGGCAAGACAATTGGATAACAATTTCTGCTTTTTTCCTCTTAGAAATGAAAAATTTTCCCMTGTAAACTTGTAAAACTAGGCTTGAATTGTTTCATCTTTTGATCATGACTGACATTGCTTGACGGGGCAAAACATTTGTGGCATAAAATCGAAGATTCCACTGGTGTGCGAACTATGATGTCATTCAGGAAATAAAAAAACCTGGTAAAAGGGAAACTAAAAACTGAACATGGCTAGAAAATAACAAGAACGTTTATTATCAAATAAATAAATACTGACTTTCAAAGAAGATCAAGGAAGCTATGCGCATTGCTTGGGAGAACTCTTTCCAATCAATAGTTARGCTATTATAAAGCAGTGCACCCTTATTCTCTTTGTTTATCATTGATTACTTTCTAATTTTTCCTCTTCGTCTAATGATTATATGATTTACTATTTATTGTCCTGATCTGTAACTACTTGTACAGTATCACTGCTTTCTGTTTGAAATAGTAAAACACTGCACATTGGCAAGGTTGACTTTGTAATTTATTCTCTGAAATTTAAGCAGCACTGCTGAAACTTGTATAACTTCATGATACATACTTTATATATTACTTAACAGGTTTTAAAAGTACAATTGGTACTGTGAGAATGTGGTATGTTTAATTGTTTAGAACATTTAGGATGGAATGAAATTGGTTCTGCTATCAGTTCTATACTGATTTATTCATGTAATTGAATCAGACAGTGATGCAGGTGTTARAATGCATCTGTCAATCATTGATTGTCTGATTCTTGTGAAGCCATTATGACCAGGAAAGTCTGGTTCCAAGACCTTTACTCCCTCCCCCCTCAGGGGCTGGTTGTAGATAAAGGGGCTGGTAGGTAGCTAAAGTTACATGTATCCACTGGATAAATGCATCTCTTCCATATATTTGGTATGGATTTTATCTGATGGATAATGATATATATGAAGTGCCTGCCAAGGTTTTGTATAGTTGTGTTTTTAGCACAGAAATTGAGTTACCAGATAAAGAAGGCTCAGCCCAGTTAGTGGCCTATCAATTCTACCAGGTCCTGTATAGCCTATTCTTTGTAGCATCATAGCAGCTCCTTTCATGTGATCACTTAGTTGGTTTCACTGCCTACAATAATGCCTCTCTCTCTCTCTCATTGGTACCATCATATTCCATTCTTTTAAAATGCCATTCTTTGCTGTTGTCAGGGTTTATAAGGCTGCAAGCAAGAACTACCATTCAAAAACTTGGACACAAACAACACTCTGTCCCCTTGTAACTCAACRGTGCCATCTCTAAGCACCCCTCCGCATCCAGCCCTCTTTTTCAACTCATGCAGCAAAGCGTTTGCATCGCCTGTAACATTGCTTATCACAGTAACTTTTTTGCCTTTAGATCTGTTTTCACAAGAAAGTGGCAGCTTGCCTTTCTTAGTCTTGCTAACATAATACACTGGCTTTGAGGAAGCTGCACTGTCTATTATTTCAAATCCCTCGTTCTTGTCCGAATCACATGGCTCACTTTCTAYTGAAGATCTAGCTTCTGGAGTGGCCTTATGGTCTGCAGTGCTTGTGGTGGGTTTAGAAGTGTCCTCTGGAAGTTGAACAAAGCTCGCGAGTGTAAGACCTGGCGGYCTTCCTTCATGTTCATCAGTCTTTTCTTGTCTTTTGTTTCTTTTTGGCATAATTTGAGTCTTTGGATATGAAAAATCGATTCTTAGTATTTTGTTTTGATCGAAAGAAATGTTTTGATCGAAAGAAAGTAAAATTAAAGGTTGCTCAGCGGTTTTAGAACTGGACAGGCGCAAACTGATGTAAACATACGTGACGTAACGTCTGTAATATACCAAAACATCAACTCTCTAATCTCCAATAAACCCTTACAAATGTCTAAAAATGGGGTCGGAAGAACTTTTTTACTTGTGCAGAATAGGGGATTTGGAAAACTTGAAGTAAGTGTGAACTGCAAATCGGTTAACAATATTTTTGTATAGAAATTTTGAGCTTTGAAACTGCTTTGTCAATTAAATGACGACATAAGCTTTCAACTGGATCGTTTCTACGAGCTATCAGTCTTTGTTTCATCTTATTGTTGTTGCAGCTTTAGATAGCTATTGGCAATGATATTGTATGGTTTTATATTCATAGAGTTTTATAATGCATACTTTAAAATGTCGTAATTCAGGACAGGATTTGCATGCAAACGCGAATTTTGAAAATGTGTCTGACATTCGTGCAAGCTGCAATTTCTACCCCCTAGAATGATTTAATTTAAAGATTGCTTTTGTTAAACTTCGTTGTCTTCATGCATTCAAAGTAGTTTTTCAATCGTTTTCTATGTATTTAGCTTATTCCTTTTCTTTTCAAGTTCGTGCTTTGTATTTGACAGATCTTTATGTCAATATTTTCAATCCAGCAGCGATCGATCGAATATCAACTACTATATTTGTACAACATGCATAATTTATTGACATTAATCGCCTTGCTTTCTCTTGTCTAATGACCTCAAAAGCTCAAAGCATTCTTTTTGCAAATGACTACAATCAAATCTGGCTGTATTCTATTTTTTTGTRATAACTGTAACCATCTTTTGCTATTTTTTTAATTCAATTTTTTTTTCCAGGTACTTGCTAGAGACAGAAGATACAGAGTTAAATGTTAGAGATCAATGGGACAGTACACCGCTGTAAGTAGAAGCYTATGACATCATTTAAGTAACATTACGCTTAAGAACTAGGGAACTCTCTATTGTTCTGCGGCATAGCAAGTTCCCCATGTACGAATGTCTTGGTTTTCACACTGATTATATATCAACCTATGGGTAACGCATTTTTGAAATAAAATGTGGATAAACTCTATTTTTGAACAAAGTTTCTTTTGTATTAAAAGCTCTTATCCAATCATAAGCACTCAAGACAATAGCCAAAAGAAGCTTCTAATTTGCTATGTTCCCCACATAGAATTGCCTCAATATTGTAGCTAAAGAAAGCTTTCATGAAGTCGGAATCAGATATTAAATAAAATATTAGAAAATTCGCTAACTTGTGAAATTATAGCAGATTTTCATGTTTTAACCAATGGGATGGATGGATTATACAATACACAATTAGCACCTTCTTGCATTCCTTTGCCGTTTGCTTCCCTAGTTCTTACTCGGGGCATTACTTAAACATATTGGGTTCAGTAATCCCAGGAGAACTCCTAACAATAGTGGGAGGCTTTGGGCTTTGATGAACACTTAAAGATAACAGTACTTGGAGTATACAGCCTTTTGCACAAATTATGAGACATTTTTATATAWATAAATATACCTAACCAAATATCAAAAACACCCAAGAAATTATGGGATACCRTCGCTGATATTTTGTCTGTAACAACCTGATGCTAGGCAATCATGACAAAATATAATAGAGATATACCATAATTTCTGGGGTGTTTTTGATACAGCCTTTTGCAAAAATTATGAGAATTGTCTAAATATCTAAATATCATAATATCTATATCCATATATTGTCCGGAACAYGCAGGTTTGCTAGAATAATTCATTGTTGACATCGAGAAAATGTTCAGAACTACGGATAAGTCCGTCGCCAAAAAGAAAAAAAGAACTACAAAGACAAGGGACTAAGGGCATCGCGCGGGATTACACATCATGCACTTGATATTATGATATTTAGATATTTCAACAATTCTCATAATTTTTGCAAAAGGCTGTATTTGGTTAGGTATATTTATATATATAAAAATGTCTCATAATTTGTGCAAAAGGCTGTAAAGATTAGAATAGCGTTATATAAAAATATTTTGAGTAACTCTTTTAAGGTCAGTAATCAATATCGTACTCCCATGGAGGGAAATCTTACACCTCACTTCAAGTAGAAATTTTTCTTAAAGATAACATCATTTTGAAAAAAAATTATTATTATTATTTCTTGTAGTTATTATGCTTGTCTTTGTGGACATGAGAGCATGGTGCAGTTTCTGCTTGAAAGAGGTATTTACAGTGTTATTTGTTGATTAAAGAAATGTTAGGGCGGCTAGTTTGTTCTGAAGTGAATGCTGGTCTGCTATATAATCTCATCCAAGGACTTCTCTGATCTAACACAGGAAGCCTGTTATTTTTCAGAGATGAAAGAGAGCCCCGTGATGGAAGCTAATCCTTTTGTTTTATCTCATTCAGGGGCAACATGTGAGCCAAGTTCATTTGACGGCGAAAGGTGTGTGTATGCTGCTTTAACTGATCGAATTAAAGCAATGCTCAAGGGATTTAAAGCCATTACACCAGAATGCATGAGAAGAGATACCTACAGAGAATGCCTGAGAAGGTATAGAATTAATCATTTAATTCCAATTTCACTTTACTGAATGTCTGTCAGGAAATAAAGGGAATTTCATCAGATATAAAGGTTAAAAAGGCATGTAGCGCATGATAATGAAGTGTTCTACATGTATCCCTAGCCTCCCCTCCCCTAGAGACACTACTCAGGCTAATGTATCCCAAAATTTTACTACTCTTGCCTTCATTTCTAATTTTTTCTCTTACTCCTATTTATTCTTCACTTCTCTATTGTTGCCTTTATTATATTATTCTCTCCTCTTCCCTTCTCCCATCTTCTCTTCCTTTTATCTCTTTTCTGTTTTTTTCATTCACTTTCTATTTTCTTTCATTCACTTCTCATCTCTTCATATCTATTTTCTTATACTCTCTCTTTGCATTGTTTAGATTTCTGGAAGATCAAGAATTTACAGATGCGTGTTTTGTAGTTCATGGAGTCAAACTCCACACACATCGCATCATTCTAACAGCAAGATCGCCGTACTTCGCTAATATGTTTGAAACAAAGTGGAGAGGAAAGTCTGTTATACGCCTTAACCATCCATTGGTAGGCATACGCATACGAGAAATATGTATAATGCTGTGTATTGCTTAACATGGTCCCAGAGGTTTGATTTTTTCTCTCTTCGTTGTTGTTTTTGCTTCGCGCCGTCAAAAACAATAACGAAAAGAGAGAAAATATCAAACCTCTGGGACCAGGGTATGTATTGCTCGTTCACATGAGATACAAAAGATAAGAGACTGGCGGCCATGTTGCAGGAACGGACACTGGTGAAAAACGCACTGCGCATGTCCACAGCTTTCCCGCTGAAATCTGCCTAATTTCCTTTGTAAAGCGATTTTTGTGAAATTTTTTTACAATTTATAAGCTCGTTCACCGATATATAAGATTCATATTTCCATCAATCATAGTTCATGATAGGTCCGTTTAGTATGTAGTTTCTATTTTTATCTTGTCATTTCTATTTTGAGAAAATGAGGTTTTTCGTAGTGTTTTCTGTGTTGTCGCTGTAAATCGCCAGGCGCTCTGTTTACAGATTTCAAGACGCGAGCGCCAACTGGCGGGAAAGCTGTGGGCATGCGCAGTGCGTTTTTTACCAATGTCGCAGGAACGAGCAATAGATGCTAATATGAGAAATCCTTTGTTAAAGTTCTTCCAAGATGGCCGCTGTGACRTAACCTGAAAACGAAAAATTCACGAAATACAAGAACGCATACACTAYACTTAAATCTATATTTACAGAGAATGCAAATTGCATTGATGCACAATTTTTATCACATTTTTATGCATTTTTCATTTGTTTGCCAGGTCAAACCTTTAGCATTCAAGGCAATATTGCAGTATTTATATACAGGTACCATACATCGTTGTTTATATGGTATTGTTTGCAGCCAAAAATCCTGCGATAATTGAAGTCCATGGAAACGCAATGTTTATGTACAGGCAGTAGTGTTTAACACTAGTTCTTATGCATTTTGTCTTGAAGGACGACTTTATGTTGATGTTTCCGGCGTGGAAGATTGCATAATTCTTGCAAAACAATGTAAATTGACGAAGCTTAGAGAAATCTTGAGAGAACGACTGAACTTTATCGACAATTTCGGTAAGCTCTGTACTTGCTTGTCATTTAGTTATGTCAAGAGTTTTTGATATAAACCATGTGGGATTGTTTCATAACACACACGCGAGCATGCGTATTGGAATAAAAACRAAATATATGAAATGAGATTATGTCTTGTGGGATAGGCTTGTAAATTAAACAAAGTTTGTTTGTTTGTTTGTTTATTTGTAGAGAATTCCAAGAAAGTTTCACAACCAATAAAAGTAGTCAGCGTAGAACCAGACGCGTACTCTAGAGAACTCAACGAGGCTTTCGGTTCGCTGGTCGAGCTTGTAATCCCATTTCCCTACAAAAATCAGGTAAATTTTTAGAGATAACAAAACTAGCGCTCCCTGGCCCCAGGCTCTAGCGTCGGGACGTGATGCAACCGTAGAGCATCATGGGCTCACGAAACCGCGACGTCTATAAACTGGGTCACTGACAAACAAACAAAAACATTACATGGATTTCTTTTTGTTATTTTAAGCAGGTTACTAATGAAAACTTTGGGAATTTTTTTACTGAAGAAACTGAAGGTAATTGTAATGGATTGTCTCATGACTTTTACAAGTAAAGAGAGCGTGGAATGGAGCGTTGCATTTGAAGATAGTAGAACGGAAGGTCTTCATTGTCTTAGACTTATTCTTCCTTCATCGCTAAT